AAGTTTACCTTTGCTTGAACAAATGGTTTTCAAGCATCCTTAAACACTTGAGAAGCACTCATTTATAACGGCATAATTAATAGGCTAAATCACAAATCATTCTTATCTTTTCACGGCACAGGTTTCCAGGACGTTGGCTAGAACACATTTTGTTAGTGTAGTTTAGGAACGTGAAAATGAAAAACACAAATACATATAACAAGAAACTTCTTTTTGTGTAAAAATATTCTAGAATTCAGAATAGTCTTCTCCAACGGATCAGAAGGAGCCAGGTTTTACAAACTCCTCTCTTCAGTGTAGTTGTAAGGACTGTAAACGCTTTTACTGTGGGTCCACTGCCTCCCAGAACTCTTGCCATTGTTCTAGCACAGTTGTGAATACAGTAAATGATTGCTGACTAAGTTAATGGGCTGTGTTGGCTGCAATTTATAATCACTCATTACTGTTCTGATCCTATTAATTGTGCTAAGGAGTAGGCACCTTAAGGGGAACTCAATAAGCCTCATCCAGTTATGGCAGTTGAGTTGCTGTCCTGAGATTTGAAAACCATCCTTTTCTTTTTACTTCTTGTAGGATCAAGAACAGAAAACTGATAATAGTAAAGGCCAAAGAAATAGGCATTTCTGAAAGTCCTATTACAAACTGTTGCATTTTGCTTAAGTGATTAAGAATTACAGTTTGTGAACAATTCCCATATATAAAATTCTGGAGTAGTCCTAACATAAAATCAATCTTTTCACCAGAGGATCACAATTTAAATTTTTACTTAAAGAAATACAAGTTCATTGTTCAAAACCAAGCCTGGTACAAAAGTCATTGGCTAGTGCTTTTCTCCCCCACATTGAAGCAAAGATTAACAGCACAAATTCTGACACCCAAATTGTCTTTCAGAAAACCTAGGTAAAAATTAGAAGATTAACTGCACAAAAGGAGAGCAGGGCAAAGGCAGACCTGCGCTAATCACCATCACAAAGGCCAGGCCCGGCAGACTGCAGAGTGTTTACTCAAAGTCTCATGCTATCAATTAGGCTGCTTAATTATCTCAGGGTCTGCTAGTACTAGACGCAATTTTTGAAGGCCTCTCTGGCTCCTCTTTCTCTTTCATTCCTGCTAGTCACAAAAGGGCTCTGAGGACAAGTCTTCCTTGACTTTCTGGCTCTGGCTGGCTTCTGGTAGCCAAAATAGGCATTATGTGAATTACTCCAATAAAGCAAAACCTGCGCTACGTTTCTTCTTAGATACGGCTGTGACCTAGAGCAGAACTGTATTTAATATATATAACAAAATGCTTGAACAGGTCACTGTAGTTTATAGTTTAGAAATATAATTCCCATGAAGAAATGGGAAGCAGTATGAAACGATCTATAAATACCGGAGATAAACAAATCTGGAGAGGTAGAACAAACTCCCTGTATCCCTGTGGTCTGGTGGTGTTCAGCGAATGTTGGGAACTGAAGGATGAGAATTCCTAGGTAAATTAAGCCAGGAACCACTTGGACCTTTTTTCTAAAATAATCTTTTTTTTTTTTAAACAAGTCCTACTAATAGAAATTTGCCGAGCAACTGAAGTTTAAGAAGGAAATTATATTGGGGAAAAATGGATAAAGAATTTTTAAAAACAACCAAGAGCTAATCATTGATTTATTCAAAATCCATATATTTATATAGAAACAAATATAGTTGATATCTAATATATAAAATATAAAATTTTGTTTTAAATTTTTATATAAAATTTACTATATGTATAAAATATATAATAAATATAAGATAGACATGCTTAAGGATTATCCAAGTAGACCAAAGTCCATCCACGTATGTATATGATAATCCTGTATCATCTACGATAATATTTCCACTGTGAAAAACTGCTTACATGCCCTCATTTGGAGACTTTACTGTCTACCACTCAAAATTTTCAGAACCCTGGGGTCACTCCAGACCCTTCCCTCCCTCTCACCTCCCACATCATCAAGCCCTGTGTTACCTCCCCTACATTTATTCCACTTCCTCTTAATGTATTTGGTCCTCTCTGTTTGCACTGACCCTGCAGATCCCAGCATTTCTCGTCTGGATCATGCAAGAGCCTCTTTGCAACCCGTCTGCCTCCGGCGTGCGCCACGCCAGTGGCGTCTGCGCTTTTCCGGAGTGAGGGCTCCGCGGCAGCGAGCTGATCCTGTTACGCGCTCTGCAGCCAGTCTGCCCTTTCATCCCTTTGAGGCTCCCGAGAACTCACATTTACACAGCTCGTTTGATGCCTCATCTCCGGCCACTCGCCACAGTCGCCCTGCTGCCCGTCAGCCCGAACGCGATACAAAGCCTGCGTGTCCCGAGCTCTTGGTGAGGGCCGCCCCACTGCAGACCCCGAGACGACAACACGGCTGCAGACGGGCTGTCCGTGGGGAAGCGGGCAGGGAGACGGGCGGCAGAAAGCGGCCGAGGATGCGCTAATGACCACGTCACTGCCGGGCCTCTGAGAGACCACGGAGCACACCTCAGAACTGTCCCACCGAGGGTTAGGAGAGCTGGCGTGCTGTTCCCCAATTTATTATTCGAGGTTCAGTCCTGGAGGTATTAACTCCCTTGTACTCTGGCAAATAGTGCCTTGTCCAGAGCATAGCGTTAGGTGGAGAAATACTGGAAGCCATTGGCAGGTGACCTCCAGGTGAACCAAAGGCACCGATCACATCTGTTATACCACACAACGCATGCAGTATGCCCCTCTTCTCAGCTGAACTCTGCCCTCCACTTGTCCTGGATCCTTTTCATTCTGCCTCCTGAAGCCTTTTCTGACCTCCTCGGGAGCGCTTCACTTCCTCTGCTGTGCACACTCTCTTCTGCTGTGGCTTTCGCGCTGTAACTGTCACAAGGCTGCCCCACACGAGACCTGGGCTCCCTGAGGGCAGTGTCTTCAGTACCTCGCTTGATGTCTGGCATAAGGCGGGTGCTCAGTGAGTGTCTTCAGGACAAGAGCATGACTGTGTGTGTTAGAGAAAAGAGGGCCCTGTTTTCTATGTACGTATTGCAACAGAAAATTTTCAAAGAAATGACATTTGGCTTCCTGCATTTTGAATAATATAAAGTTGAGTGTAGGAACACCAAGCTAGAAATCTTGGGTCCTAATTCAAGTCAATTGCTTTCCCTATAAAAATGCGTGACTGTGAAGGACCTTTAGGTTTCTTTCAAGTTCCACAGATTTCAAGTGACTGAATCTGTGTGTAAATGAAAGCTGAAGTCCACAAACTGTACAACCACCACATGTAGAATTACCTATGTTTGTGACAAATTTCATGGATTCAAGAAAAAAGTACAGTTGACGCAAATTTGAGATACTGACAGGTTTGTAATGCTGTGTATACAAAAAAGCCAGGACCAAAAGGGTCTCCTGAGTGAGAGGATACCCCAGGGAGGGTCTGGCCACTGCAGGGAACTAGCTGGGCAGAAGGGCGGCCTCCGAGCTGGCACGTCCCACTGCACTGGACGGAGCTCTGTTACTGTTGCCAACCTCTGTGTAGTACGGTGCCACCTGATCCTGCTTAGGTCACAGACTCACAAATAGTCACTTCCTGAGTTCTCATGTAATCCCTGGAAGGTAGGCTTTGTCTGCATTTCTTGACAGGAACAGACAAACTTGGAACACCGAATACAGCCCATGCTTGGCTTACCTGACGTCTCAGTCTTAATCTGACCAGAAATGTGACTGACGGTGAGGGCCTGGCAAGAGTAAGGAAGAACTAGGGGGTTTAGGGATCCTATGTGTAACAAACTAAAAAATGTTAAAGATGTTTATTTTAGAAAACAAATTACTTTTTTTGAGCCAGAGTCTTGCTCTGTTGCCCTGGCTAGAGTGCAGTGGCGTCTTCATAGCTCAAATGATCCTCTTGCCTTAGCCTCCCGAGCAGCTGGGACTACAGGCGATGGCACAATGCCTGGCAAATTTTTCTATTTTTTGTAGAGATGGGGTCTTGGTCTTGCTCAGGCTGGTCTCAAACTCCTCAGCTCAAGCAATCCTTCCACCTTGGCCTCCCAGAGAGCTAGGATTATAGGTGTGAGCCACCACGCCTGGCCCCTCTCTTAAAATGTTCCAAATATAGTCATTGGTGTTCTGTGTACATTGAATACAGATAGATAATACTTCTTTAAGAAGCTAGACTTTAGAAGTTTCAAATAATTAGTTTTCTTCTAGAAAAGTCCCTAAAAATACGTAATATATATAAGTGCTGTTTAGAATTTAATTGTAAGAAAATTATTTTACTGAACATCCTCAATATGCCCCCTATGTCATATGCCTTTCAGAAACACGGAGTCACTGTTGTAAATGATTCTGATTTGGTGGGGAGGAAAGAGAAGAACACATGGGGGTTTCCCCTGTCTTTCCCAGAGAATTGTTGTTTTTGATGACAGGGCACAGGGTGGGATGGGGTGGGGGTCTAAAGAGCCCCACCAGGCCAGTAGTCCATGGCACACTGGCTTGAATCATGCCCATGAGTCATGTGCGACTTCAGAGAGCTACTGTATCTGGATGGCTCTCTTCCCTTATTCGTGGAAGTACTTTGGAAGAAAGGACGGAGGGAAAATAAATAAACCTAGAAGACTGTAACTGAAAGCACGCGAACGATGGTGATGAGCGCCGTGAGGCTGTGTCGTGTCGTGCTGGGGCTTGATCTGGTCTAGCTTTGTCACTGATTTGTTGACTCAAGGAGAGTCATTTGAGTGCTTTGGGTCTCAGTAGAAGGACTGAATGATTTCTTAGGTCTCTTCCAGCAGGGATAGTCAAGTTTACAACACCAACAGGAAGTATAGACTCTGGCAGGAACATGTGGCCAAGAAAAAGGAGAAATAGAATATACATCTCAATATGGAAAGCCAATGACAGAGTAAGAACAAAGAGGAAAGGGGGCCAAGATGACCACTTGCATCCCTGTGAAATGGCCCTGGGATGGGCACAATTCAAGAGGTGTTCCGAAAGTTGAGTGTAGGCTGAGATTGAGTAGAGGCCTTACCTTCCGGTGACAGCCAGGCATAGTGTGCACATTCCGTGTAAGAGTCCTGTGGCGTGCTGCAGAAACACGGCCATCTTGGGATTCTCGTCCACCGGGCCTTGCACCGAGAGGAAGCAGGCACACAGTCTGTCGATCAGACCTACGTTCACCGTGTAGCTATATGTGGGGGAGAAATGTATCAATTTGCATAGACTCAGCATCTTCACCTTCAATGACAAATTTTACCATATATGGGCCTGGACCCCCTCAACACAGGTTTAAGTAAAGCATCTCAAGTAATAATTTCCTTAGATTTAGTTCTGAATAATCAACTATTTCTGTAAGAATTTTTTTCTCTCTTCTCTTTCTTCGTTGTTCTGATATTGCATTTCAAGAAAAATGAATAAAAATGATTATTTGATCATTTTTACTGGTCCAAAGAGTCTGACAAGAGATGAAGTGATTTATAATGACCTTTATGCTCTTAAAAAGCATTTGGATAGAATGAACTAGATAGAATGCTAGCACAGCAAAGTGACTATAATCAACGATAAGTTTGGCATACTTTAAAATAACTAAAAGAGTGGAACTGGAATGTTCCTAACACAAAGAAATGATAAATGCCTGAGGTGATGGATACCCCAATTACCCAAATTTGATTAATTCACATTGTGTGCCTGTATCTAAACATCACATGTACCCTATAAAGATATACAACTATTAATATTATGTGCCCATAAAAAAGAATAAAAAATACTAGGGAGCCAAACTCACGAGAATGCAAGGAATCTAAAGATACGGTACAATGATTCAACCCAGGCCCTCTTCTAACAACTAAACTGTTAATGCCAACTGTAGGTTCTCCATTTTTTAAAAACCCCATCACCATGAAGAGCATAACAAATAGTGAGAATCGGATTGATTTCTGTTATGAAAAGTACCAGTCCTGAGGGTTGACAATAACATTTAAGAGGTTACTTCCATTTTTTTAATCCAATTAACAGATTTTTAGAGCTGTTTATTAAACTGGAATGACAATAGTAACTCTTCTATTAGTCCACAAAGCAGCAATCATTGAAAAGAATATTTTAAGACTATAAAGGACCCTGTGGATAAATCAACCTTAGCTTAGAGCTTTCATACACGTGCGATGCTGCTGCATCTACATGCGTGGGAAGGGTAGGACCGCAAGTATAGCAGTTCTGCAAATCCACCCATTAACTTTCAGAGACACGTACAAAGGAATTGAGATTTCTGTAAGTGTACGGTGATTCCCAATGCTATTCATTTACCAACACACCTTTTTGTAAAAGGAAGGAGAATCTCACAAATAATTCATGTTTGGAGCCATCTCCAAGTTCCCTACTGAGAAGGTGCAAAGCAATGCCCCGTTTCTCCCTCCACATCAGGAAATGTGTCGACCCGGGCTGCTGAGCACCGCTACGGTTTTGAGATTGGGCAGTATGACGTGATGACCACCAGCCCTCATCCCTTTTAAGTGAAGGAAACAGGTAGATTGATACATGTACTCACTGAGGATCTTATAACTTGATTTAATAGAATTAGACTTTTTAAAATTGGCTTTCATATTTGCACAGAACTTTTCAATTAAGAAAGTGTTTTTACCTTAATTATCGCAATGAATTATCTATCCCAAGAACGCTATGAGGGAGCAGACTGTGAAAGCTTTGGTTTTTGTCTTCCCAGAACATTCTTCTCTCCTATTCCATGTGGTCTGGGGGGTGGGAGGATGTTAAATATAGTACACTCCTGCTAAAGCAGGAGTGAGCATCTGCTCCAGAACAGTCAAAGTACTCATCGTCTTGGTCATAATGACTAGTTCCAGGATGGTGCATGACCTAAGCAGGACCAATTAGCATCTTCTGTGGGATTAATATATGATCATAGGAAAAATCTCTTTCCACTGGGGATATCTAACCCAAGAGATACAACCCTGGGGATTTGCTGGTAGCCAACTGGTTACATGGAGAACAATCTTATAGAATAAAGCCAAGTAGAGATGAGTAGAACTGAGAGAAACAGACAAAGCCCTAATGGCATACAGTCATGTGCTGCTTAATGCAGGGATGCATTCTGAAAAATGCATCATTAGGTGATTTTTTGTTGTATGAACACCATAGAGTGTACTTACACAAACCTAGATAGCATAGCCTACTACACACTTAGGCTATATGGGATAGCCTATTCCTCCTAGGCTACAGACCTGTACAGCATGTTACTGTACCAGATACTGTAGGCAACTGTAACACAACGGCAAGTATTTGTATATCTAAACATAGAAAAGGTATAGAAAAAATATAGTTTCATAATCTCACAGGACTATTGTTGTATATGTGGTCTGTCATTGACCAAAAGTCATCATGTAGCACATGATTGTATTTAGAGCCTCGGTATCTAGCTCCAAACCTTGACCTTCCCAGGTACACAAGCCATTTCACTATTTTTGCTTACGTTATTTCAAGTTAGTTTTCTAAAAGAGTTCTAACCACAGAAAGTGGAAAATCGTTTTTTCTGATTATAAAAGTAATATAGGCTCATTATAGAAATTTAAATAGTAAGCAAAAGGAGAAAAAGAAGTGGAAAAAGTTGGCCATAATTTCACCTTTTAAAGACAACCACAGTTTGATAAATTTCCTTTCATGAGTTTCTATTTGATTCTTTCTCCACATGATTAACATACTGAATTTCATTCAACTTACTATTTTAAGCCCTTTCTCTGTCATGATAATATCTTTGTAAACATTATATTTTAAATCTTTAAAAATTGTATTATTAATAGTTTTAACATAAACCAAAAATAGACAGAATAGGACAACAAATCCCCAAGCATTTATCACACAGCCCTGACCACCATCAACCCATGGCCAATCCCACCCCCATCCACACCCATTTTGTGTGTTTAAGCAAATTCAAGGCATCGAATTATTTCATTTTTAAATGTTTCAGTTTGTATCTCTAACAAATAGAAGCTTAAGAAAACACAACCATAATACCATTATATCTAAAATCACAATAATTTCTTAATAGCATCAAGTAACTAGTGTTCAAATTTCCAAATATATCATAAATGTCTTAACATTTTTAATAGTTTTTTTAAAAAATTAGAATCCAAATAGGAATACACATTGTGACTGGTTAATATGTATTATGTCTATTTTTAATCTGTAAATTACCTCTTTTTCTTTTTTTTTTTTTTTAGCTCCCTTGAAAATTTGTTGATGAAACCTGGTTGTTTATTTTATATCCTGTCCTAGACATTGAATTTTGCTGATTATATCCCTGTGGTGTCACATAATCTTTTTTCCTGAACTATGTATTTCCAGTAAAATGATCTAGGTTCTAGAGGTTTGACTGGATACATAAACATTATTTTTTTTAATGGCTGAATATTCTATTAGTGAAATATTTTTGGACTTTTGGTTGTTTTCAATATTCACTATCATAAACCATGTTGTGTTGAACATTTTTGTGTACAAATCCTTGCCATATTTCAGATTACTTTCCAGAAGTAGAATTTCTCAGTCAAAGGGTACGTATATTTTTAGGATTCTTGATATGGATAGCCACACTACATTCCACAAACGTTGAAGCAATTTACAGTTCCATCAGCGGGGTATGAGAAAACCTGATTTATGATGTGGGGTTGGTATTGCCATCCCCATTTGATAGACAGGGCAACTGAGGCTCAGGGAGGCCGAGCACAGCCTGAGCAAGAGAGCTGGAACCAAGATCTTCTGACTCCTGTTAAGAGTGTCCTTTCCCCTAAATATGCTACTTCTCTGAAGCATTTTTTGGGTCCTTATTGAGGTCTAAATTTTAAAAACAAGGATGTAAAATTATTTCTGAGACCCCTTCGAGACTCATAGTGATCACACAAAGGTTCAAAACTACCCAGTAAGGATGAAATGGCTTAAATGGGTTTCCTATACTGACCTTGAAATAGCCAGAAAGGAGGAAAGAGATAAAAAACACAGAAAAAGCAAAGCAAACCAAAACAACCACTGTTGAGCAGGTGGTCCTTTCTGAGTGTGGTCTCCTTTGGTTACTGGGCCATCTATGGCCCAGTAATGAGCCAGACTAATGTATTTCCAAACTGCATGGGTCTTGAATCACTGCACGGTCAATCTTTAAATGACTGCTTAAGAAGATGCTTAACTAAATGGCTCTAAAGGTCAGTGTGGAGAAATTCATTTTGCCAACTTCATAGCTTTGAGGAAGAACGTGGAATCTTCTAATGGATACTGAGATCAAGCACAGCATATCTTTTACATTGCAACTGTTAGGTTGAAATTACAGTGTTGAGACTGTTAAACCATATCCAGGATGAAAAGCTTTAATATAGAAAACCTCCTAGTCCTTTTGCAGCATGCATCCTGGGAAACATGCTGCTATGAACGGTCCCGTAAATGAGCCTCTCCATTTGCTTTACCATTTGAGACTTAAAATGAGTCCTTTTGTAGCTTTCTGCCATTGGAATTTATAAACTGAAAGGGATATTTATGTATGTGATATGTAAAGAGTTACTGCTTCTTCTTTGTCCACCCTTGTCCAGCTACCCACCCTCACACCACAGCTGAAATAATGGCTTACCAGGGTTCTATCCTTGAATGAGGTTTAGTAAACTCATGCAATTCCATGGTTTCAACTATCCTTGATATGCTACTAATTCCCAATTCTGTCCCCAGGCCTACTTCTTTTCTGAACTTCTTACCTGAAGTTCTAGTTTATGAGTATTTCCCTTTGGGAGTCCCAAAGTACCCCTATAGCAATAGGTTCAAATAAAACCTCATTATCTCTTCTGAAATCTCCTCCTCCCAATATTCTCGTCCAAGTGAATGTCACCATTCATCTCACAGTGACGCAAGAAATTTGGGAATAACTATTTGTAATCATGCATTCATCCCTTCAATGATTTCTAAGCATGATGCTGATACTAACTTTCAGGATCCTCTTAACACAGAGGCTGACACAAAATTTCTATACTTTATAATTAATTCTGTAATAGAGGTATGTTCAAAGTATTACTACAGTATAGCAGGAGGGCCTAATTTGGGCTCAGTGGGTCATGGATAGCTTCTCAGAAGAGGTGGCATCTTAAGATTTGTAAATGAATTCCCCTGATAGACAAGGTCCAAGGTTAAGGTAGACAGAGGTTA